AACCTAAGCCTTCTGATGAGGAGTAAACTACATCTTCAAACTTATTCAGAGAAAAATAGCAGTTAGCAATTTCACTTCTCCAAAATAAAGTTATTAAATATATATATTATAAGTCTTTATAAACTATTTCACTGTTTAAGCAAGGAGGGGAACACATGACTGAGGACCACTTTAATCCCTCCTTCCCTGGGGAGGGAGAAGTGGACATCAGCTGTGAATCCACCAGAAAGCTGGCATGTTCCTTAGCAGAGACCCAGAGCTTGCTGGCTTGCAGGCACACACACACACGCACAGAGGGGACACGGAGGCTTGCATTCAATCTCGCTAAGTCCTTCACAAGGATGTTCTTTTTTCCAGCTTGTGCTTTGTGAGAAAGTACTTGAAGAATTCATACACGGACCAGGCGATGGCTGTTGAAGGCATCTGGTAAATGACACGTGCCTGCACCCCTCTGAAATACCCCGAAATGCCCCCCAGCTGATAGACAGTCTTGAAGGCATTCACCATGCCCGAGAGATGTCCGCTGATGTTCACAGAGGTCAAGGCCATGTTCTCTTGGGTGTTGAGCAAGGTCTTGCAGACATCCAGAGGAGTGGTGGCAGCAGCGGCCACAGCCCCTGCGATGGCACCGGAGACGATGTGGGACCGAGGGTTATACTCCCGGTGTGGGTTGATCTGCTCCTGCATGAATTCATAGGTGATGAAGTGAATGGCCTGGAAGGGGACGTTCATGGTGAGCTGGGTGGTGTAGCTGCGGTAGAAGGCACCAAACCCCTCCGTCTTCTGCACTGTCCTTATGCACGCCAGGACGGACTTGTAGGGGGAGTTGAACATCTGCATCCGCTGCTTCACCACTGGTCCAGGCAACAGCCACAGGGTGTAAAGGCAGGGCGGACAGCACCAGGCAGGACAGACGCAGGGAGATAAAGACTTATTAGCTAAGGCACATCTTTCCTGGTCATCACAACACCCAGACTGAACCCTGCTCCAAGTCCCGACCGTGCAGACTCAACCTCCCCTTCCAAGTACACACTGCTAGGACATAAACCAGGCATTTCTGCAGCAATGAGCTCCTTATCGACAGGCTTTTACCAAAAGGCTGCATTCATCCTCTGCTTCCCCCAACCTGCCCAGTGGCCCCCAAAAAACTCAATGCAACAAGTGAGGGAAGCAGGTCAGAGCTCAGCCCTGGCTCAACAGCTCTCCACTTCCATGGGCTAATCCACTCATCTCCTCAAGCTTAATTAAGGAACTTTTACTTCTAGCTAGAAAGGCATTAAGACAGACCGATAAGGACCCTCAGATGCATTTGTGAGGATGCAGAGCTGTTGTGTGGAAACACTGACATACCAAGAGGACAAGGGCAGAACGGCGATTAAATAACTACATCACCTGGGAGGCGTTAACAGACCTCACCTGCGGTCCCAAGTCCTGAAATGGAACAGCTTCCATTGACTTAAGCAAAAGGCCAATTAATTTAATTCATTTAATCAGGATATGATTAAAAGGATTTTAAACACTGGAGACATTTTTTCCTTCAGAAAAACCTGACATTGGGCCAACTCAGAAGACAAATACACTAATACTGAATAGCTGGCAGTCCAGCTAATTGTCTTCATTTTAGCTGCACTTTACTGTTAGTCCTCTTAATGCCAGACTCTGCCTACCCAGGAAGGCTACGCAACGATCCCACCAGCTGCTGCACTTGTCCCAAAACATGACTGAGCTCAGTTTCATTTGGGTGGTCCAAAGCTTCAGAAAAGCCACCACCAATTCAGTAAAGATGCACTAGCAGAGTAGTAACAGCATCGTCTTAGTAAGGGTGACACCAGTTTTCCTGGAAAGTCACGATACGCCACGGAGATGCTGTGCAACCCTTGGCAAGCAAGGTAAAACAGCCAGGCAGAATTTATCCCTTTACACTGGCCTGTCCAGGCTCATTAAAAGCTGGGCAGAGCCACTAAAGCAAAGGGCTTAAGCTGCTGAGGTGGCACAGGGTGTCCTCAGTGCCTTCCCAGGCTAACGAGGTGCAGCACTTCCCAACAGCACAGGGCATTACCTTCAGCGGGATTCATCACTGCGTCATGGAGTAGCGTGGCCACGCTCCCAGCTATACCTGCAAGACACAAAAGCATCCTTCAAAAAAAAAAAAAAGATTCAGAAGCCAGGGGCTTGCTCGGGCACTGCCACCCACAGAGGCAGCGGCCGATGTCACAGGCAGCCCACACACCACCAAGCACCCGGGTACCGCTGCCTGGGGAGCTGCAGCCCAGCTCCACAGCAAGCCCAAGGAAGCATCCAGCAACGCAACTCATTCCCAGTGGAGAAAAGCCCATCCTGAGCAGCTTGACAGAAACCAGGATCCGCTCACAGCGTCACCTTTGCTATTCCCTACAACTCACCAGGCTTGGCCTGCACAAGACACCACCGGCTTCACTCAGCCTGCACTGGACTGAGAGATGAGCAATGTTTAGAACTGGCTCAGCACATCCATACCTAGGCATTTTCATCCGTTTACTCAGTCTCGTTTTAAACACTAATTGCACAGATTCTGCAAACATCCAGCCAGCCATTAATGATTCTGCAGTTGGCTCTAGGATGGGCCTCTCGAGCCACACCTTCTGCTTTGATGTAGGTTTCCACCTCAAATTCTCTCTTGCCCAAATGACTTTCGGTCATTTCTCATTAACGCAACGCTTCAGTTTTCCCGCTGGTACCGAAAGCCTGTAGCTACTTGAAGGGCAAACACAGGAAGCACATTACTAGCAAAAAGCAGCAAGCCAGGAAGATATTATATACCCTTAACTGAGTTGCTTGAGTCAATCTGCCATGGCAGTCACTTGGCTTCCTACCGTCACACCATGTCAAGGACCAGGCAGAAATGCCTTCTGTACAAACGCTTTTGTAACACCCCTGGCTGCTCAGTTAGAGGGTTTCTGCTGTTACAGCGGTATTGTTGGACCTAAAAGCAAAAGCCTTCCTGGTAGAAGCAAAATCTTTAACAAAGCACGCGAGCACACAGAGGATGCAGTGCACTTTACCATGCTGGGGCTCCAAGGGAGACATCTGGAATAACCTGTACTTCAAACCTCAAGAGGTTTAGACAAAGCCTTCAACATAAAGCCAGAAACAGCCTGCAACTGCATCTGAACACCTCGTCCAACGTATTGATTACTTGTGCTAGAATAATTTGAGATTAAAGAGTAGTGCAGAAATCTAGATTGGACTAAGAATTCGGAGGGTGCACAACAGTGCCATCAGGGGTGTCAGGCCAGGAAGGGCTTCTCTGCTCTGCTGCTGACAGCCAGCCCAGCCATCTCTACTCTCTAGAAGAGGGTACCAAGCAGTCAGTAGTCCCAAGACTACTGCTCCCAAGAGCACAGGTTTCAGAGGAGCATGGTGACCAGCATGAAGCACTCAACTAGAGGGCCAGTGCCACACTTGCCTACGTGACTTCCCCCTGCCTCTCCAGCCCTCCCAAAGCGGGTGCCAAGACCCGCAAGCCTGGGGTTACGTTTGCATCTTGCATCCTCCCATACGGGTATTTACAGTGTCAGTCTGAATGCAGGCTGCCTACAGCAGATCTTCCAGGAGCAGAGCACAGTGAAGGACGCCAGGCTAAGTCCGTGAAGCAAGCAAGGGACAGGCTATTAACTACAAGCTTTTTTTTGTGCAAAAAACAAAGATACCATTGGCCAAGTGGCTGTTTCCTCCATGCTGGATAGTATCACTTAGAGACTTTTTCATTTTTTCATAGCAGGCAAAGTACATTGCATGGGCAGGGCCAGCCCCCAGCATGGTGACATTAATCCCACGTAAAGGCCTCCAGAAACCCTCTGTAAGGACAATCTTCTTCAGAGCTTCGTACACGCTCCTGTACTGGGCTTTGGGGTCCGGCTGCAAGCTCTGCATCCTTGTCTGCAACAAAGCACACGAAGGGAGAGGCCTCAGTTACCTGTCTTTAATGCAACAAGCACAAGCCATAGAGTTAAAGAACTACAAGACTTCCAAGACCATTAGAGGGGTCAATAATTTATTCCCTGGTTGCACCCGCGCCGGGGCCACAGCACTATTTATCTGTGCTTTGCCTGCCAGACCAGCGAGATTAACTCCGTGCTCCCATTGCAACACCAAAACATTACGAGGCTGCTCAGACAAGCGCTCAGCGGAGAGAAGTGTAACCTCTGCTCTTGTTTATGCATGGAAAGTACAGGGAATTAAGCTAGCACAGTTGTTCAAAAGACTCGGTGAAGAAATACAGTTAGGTCTTTAATTGCCTCTTGCTTACAACACTCCCGGCTCTCTGCCCCGGCTTGTTTCTCCTGCAGTTGCTCAGCTGCTTTTGACACTCGGTGTGCAGAGTTAGCCCGCTCGATTGGGAAACAGGTTTCCTCGAAGGGCAAGCCGAGAAAATGGGGTACCTGCAGTAACCCCTCCCGTAGAAGGAGAGACAGGTAAAGGCCACCCCATTCTCCTGCACAGCGACCCAAGGAAGACCCAGTGGGTGACTACGTCCCCCAGCAGCCTGGAGAGCACGGCAAACACGGAGCCGCCCTTCGCCCCGTCTTCCTTCCCAGCTCCTGGTGCCCTGCAGCCACCAACTGCCTGAGCCAGGAGGTTTCATCGGCATCTTTGTTCAACAGTCCTCGACGGGCTTTTCTTCCACACATTTTTGAAGCCAGCTGAGTTTCTGGCATCCAAAGCATCCTATTAAACTCACTGCCATCACTTAATTATGCACCGTGGGAAAAATTACTTTTTAGCTTGTTTCAGGCTTCTGCAGACTGATGCCATCACACACCAGCAACGCTCAAAGCCCTTGCAATGATGATGCCAACCTGCGACGGGTGTTTGCAGGGCACGGACCCCAGCCACCTCCCACCAGCAACAGGAAAGGCACCGGCAGGGCTTAAACCTCCACAAGCGTCCCAGCAAGACCAAGCAAATCTAGAGCGTCAAGATGCAAAGGGCTCTGCCACTCCTGCTGAGCAGCCCACAAGTCCTGCCGGTCTGCAAGACGGCTGATACACCCCATCACACTGAAACCGGTCTGAAGGGATGCAGCCTTTGGCGGCAGCCTCACGCCTCAAAACACAAACACAGAAGGCTCCTGGGAAACGGCATAGCCACAGGAGACGAGTGTTTAGCAGCCTGCAACAGGCTCCATCAAATTAATGCTCTTTTAAGGAGAAGCTTGAGAAGTGCAATTAAAAGGTCATTGGGGTTTGACAGGAAGGATGCTTTCCACCCCGTGAGCTGGGACACCCCATCTTCAGAATAAAGTTTCCCCCGAACGATTTGGTAGCATGCAGACACCAGCGCTGCCCTCGTGGGCAAAGCAACACGAATGGCTCCGTCCTCAGCAGAGATTCAACAGCCCTTGAAAAAGCAAGGATTGCCCATGCCACCTCCATGCTTCCTCACCGGGACACAGCCCTTCAAGCTTATCGATTCACTTAATTAGCCAGCAGGCAATACTACAGCTAAGCTTTCAGGCAAGATTAAGCCAAGAAAATGTTTTGGGTTTGGACCTTTGATTCCCCAAACCACTCTAGTTACTTGAAACTGAAGAGCACTTTCACGTACACTTTCTGAGACCAAGGAAGAGATCAGAGCTGAATTCAGGACTTTAACCCAGTTTAATAAAACCAAGCTATGAAAGCAGCAAAGCAATACGTGAGGCTAAGCCAAATTATTGTATTTGTAGTAAATATTCTAAAAAAAAAATTGCACAGGAATTACATTTGCAAAGTGACTTAGTTCAGCAGCTAGCTGAATTTCAGACTTAAGCATCAGCCAGTGGTCACAACAAGGCATCACCCTACAACAGGGAATTCGGCGGCCTCAAGCAAAGTTTCCTGTTTCAGAGCACTAAATGCATTGTAACCTATGAACAGCGCTGGAAATAAACCCAAAGGCTCAGAAAAATCCTCCTGGAAAGGCAGCAACAGCCCTGAATTATCTTGGAATTTAAAAAACAGGTTTTAAATCTGGCTCTCAGCCCTCGCTGAGCAGGCGTAAAGGTCTTGCAACCCCTCCACGGGTCTCTGCCCCTTCCCGTCCCATGGATGCTCTTCGGGAAGGGCTGGGCAGGGGCTGGATTTAACGATGCCCCGGAGAAACTCCCGGCAGCCGCTCTGCCGTCAGCGTGACTCAGCACGACCCACCGCTGCCGAGCTGGTCACATCCAGCTGGGGTTTGTGTTTTTGGGTTTTGGGGTTTTTGGGTTTGGGTTTTTTTTTTTCCTCTGCTAGTTTTAACTTGAAGGCATTGCTTCAGACTCCAGAAATGACCCCAGGAGATCTCGATCTCACCCTGGTCTATTGCTGGAATGCCTTCGAAGCAGCCGGTATAATTTAAGCACGCAGCAGCGTCATCTCATCAGAAAGGTAATCAGGGATAAGTGCTCCTGTAAAGCAATAAACTATCAGCCTGGCATGTGCAGGACCAAAGCGTGTGGTGCTGTGTTGCGGGGAACTAACCCTGAGTATCTCCACCCTTACTGAGGGTCCAGTTGCTTTCACATGAGGATGGATAAATACCAATTTTTATTTTTCTGTTGATCATCTGAGCCACTCTAGAGGGGTTCAAAGCCTCATACCGTACCCCAGAGCGGGCGGTAAGTGCATGTTGTACCCGCCTAACCCACACACGCCGTAGTTTGCATCACCACCAGCACAGCCAAGTCCACAGGTTTGCACCTTTCATTAAAGCTGTGGACACAAACAGAACAAACAGCCCAAGGAGTAACCAAAACCAGGATCTCCTGTGTGGCTGCTGCAACGCAAGTGGCACATAGCTGAAAACAGGTTCGTCTCTGTTTCATCCAGGTTAAGCTTATCATGGTGTGAACGATGATGATTTGCTACGAGCTACGCAGCCCTTACCCCCCAGGTCCTGCCACCTATCTGAAGCCAGCAAGCTCCTCCAGGAGCCTCACCCCCCTGTTGTTAACCAGCCAAGAAATACTTCACCTTCTTAGATTAATCCTCATTGCATAAGGCAAGAGTGCACTGACAACCACAAGCATCCTGGTAGTCCTGGTTTCAGCTTGGGCATAAGAAGCAACAACAAAAGTCACAGCTTCAGGTTCATCAGGTTACCTGCTGTTTGTGGACCAGCACCGCCTTTATGGATGCTGTTTGGGGGAAAGCACCCAGCCTTCCCGCTGCCAGAAGCACAAGAATAGTTGTTTTCTATCCAGAATTGTTTTACTAACAAGAGTCAGGTCTCAAGTTCTGCGTATTCTTGCAAAGGGTCACTGATTTGACATGCCACTGTAAAAACAGGCTCAGATACAATTTGCCTTTGGGTTTTTTTTCCCTGAACATGGCATGCTTTCTCAAAATTCAGCTCGCACATTCATGTGACAGGCAACCACCCTGGTCTTCCCGCAGCTAACAAAAGACACAGAGAACACAATACGCTTTTACCAGGAAATAAGCAGCATTTCTTCAGTGACCGGGTCAGATCCTGCTGACTGGAGAAGGCTTCGCTATTGCACGACCCATGCCATGCTCAAGCTCTGAACTCCCTTTTCTTTTTTGCTAGGCTGTTTTTCAGCTAGAACAGCTCCCCAGACAAGCAACACACTTGGTGTGGCACCCACCCGTGTCTGCAAAGGCCCATGGGAGGGAAGCATAGGGTCAGTCGAACAGGTTAGCCGCGACTTTCCAACACCCCAACACTATCAGCTGAAACAAGAGTAACTGCTCCTCCTGGACCTGTGTCGAGACGGGTGGATGCAGAACCTCCCACCACCAAACCCAAACCAAGCATCCTTAACCCCAAAATCTAAATAAACCACAGTAAAACAGCTCACAGGAGCTCATCTCTCTGCCACCCTCAGTCATACTTGTGTGCTTTCAAGGCCTTAGTTACAAGCAGGGAAGCTCCAAAGTCTACTTGCACGAGGCGGGTCACCCACAGTTGACTGTCCTAGCTGGAGCCACTGAAACACTTCCTCCATCCCTCCCAACAAGCCCCGTCGTACTTGTCCTCCTTTCCTTTCCACTCCCCTCTCTGGCATTGCAGATGTAGGCTAGACGTTTCTCCTACCCTTCAGCCCAGGAGTTCCCATTACAGTACGGGACCTCCTGTACCCGCTGGGAACCATACACAGCCACAGCAAAGTCAACTTACAGATGTCTTGTTGCACCAGCTTGGTCAGGAGCAGTTCAGGTTTTCATGGAGGACTGCAGCGTGGTTAGGGCTGGAGCAAGGACTTTTTGTCATTAATGCAACTGCCATCCACTGTGAGGAAGGGAGGTTCAAGCCCAGCACATCTCCAGTTTCTCACCGAGCTGTCTCACATCAGCATTTAGTTCCCAGGTGAGGACAAGAGCTGTTCTTCACATCCTCAAGGCAGCTACTTTACCTGCCCTGGGAAGCCAGCTCCAGCAGCCTCGCAGAAAAGCCACCGAATGGCTTAAGCAAGAGGAGGGAGGAGGCTCCAGGGGAGTCCTCCAGAAACTCCCTTTTGGCGCCATCACAAGAAGTCCCTGACATGCTGATCTCTAAAATTAATTTGGAGACTGATCAGGCTTGCCAGGACAGCTGTGTTTTCAGCAGCTACAAAACAAAACAAGCCTAAGCACTATGAGAAACACCATCGGCACACATCTAAAAACCTACAGTTCAAGCCAGCGTTTTACTACGACCACAGCGTTAAGTGGGCAAGGCAGAGGCCAACGTGTAGTTAAGGCTGAAGCTGCAAGGGGGTCTTTACCACTAGAAGGAAAATGATGGGAAGGAACAGACACCAAGCAAGTCTCAATAATCACAAGCCTCCAGCTGCAGCTTTAGTTGGTAAAACACAACCTGTAACGCATTGCCCCACTAAACAAATAGCGACTTTGCTGCAAAATACACATACGACTAGCGATGCTTTAAGTTACAGCAGGGGAATCGCAGCCAGGTGCTGTAAGGGGCTGCACACGGGCACGTGCATCACGGACTTACACCCTCCCTCATCACATCCCAGCACGTGTTGCCCCGTGAGCACCAACAGCACCTCTGGGCATTTTCTACGCTGTCACACAGGCATATTTAGGAACTTCACAGAGGTCCATAGGGTACTATTTTAACTGCTTGCCTTGACTCACCTCAATAGGACAGCACCATGGC